TGTGAATGATTCACTCATTACTCCGTTTTACTCGCACCTGAGCTGTGGGGTTGGCATATAGGGCTATAATACAATAGAGCATATTGGGGCCGATACCCATGTGATGTAAAATGGAAAAAAGGTACTCCCAGTCCACCCTATCAAAAGCTTTTTCCGCATCAGTAGATAAGTGGGCTGGAAATACCGTCTCACATATGACATCAAAGAAATAGTCCTTAAAGAGTTGTCCCTTGCCTCCCTTCCATGTATAAAACCAGTTTGATCATAATGTATCCAACTCGGGATTAACGGTATCAACCTATTGGCCAACGCTTTAGCATAGAGTTTACAATCAGTATTTACTAAATAAATCTGCCTATAACTAGCACGAGGTAGGGTCCTTACCAGGTTTTGGTATAACCGTAATATACACATGTGTCGTGTCACTACAAGAAGAGGGATATCTCTAAAGGTGCCCATACACCTTACAATTATCTGCAGATTTTCTGTGGTCAGATGGAAAAAGTGCAACAGATTCCTCCATCTATGCTAAGCTGTGTGGATGAAGGAATCTCCCACTGGGCCAAGCTTCAGTATCTTGCTAGTCGGCCCCACTGGCTGTCAAAATACCTGAACAATCTGATTGGATGCAGGCATTGTTCAGGTGTTTTGAGAGCCAGCGGGGCCGACCAGCAAGATTACGGAAGCTTGGCCCAGGTGGAGATTACTACATAGTTAAGTGTAGATGGAGGAATCTGTTGCACCTTTTCCATCTGACCACAGAAAATCTGCAGATAATTGTAAGGTGTATGACCAGCTTTACAAGGACCATAACAACAATGAAAATCTCACAGAGCTTATAACACTTCCTATTTTTGTTGGAAATTAAGTTTTATTGCTGTATGTGTTCTTGTGTGAGACATTTCTTCTTTCTTTCTGTCTTAGTGAATACCATCACAGGAACAGGACATGAGGGGAAATCTTTCCTATAACATAAAGCTATAATTAAAAGCTGACCGAAGCTTTAATCTTTTCCCACTTTTCCCCAAAACAAAACAAGGATTTGCTTGAGTTACACTGGAACTGTGTATACTGTTTAACTGTTGCCCCGTTCACACTTGTGTGGGTGTGACGCATATAGGACAGCCTATTTATTTAAATAGGCTGCCCTATGCATGGCAATTGCACCAAAGGAGTTCCTGCACTTTTTTCCCAAAACGTGCTGCAACAAAACCTGTGTGAAATTGCATAGTGCAGCAAGGTGCATTAAAGTTCCATTAAGAATAAATGGCACTGCAATGCATCTGTAACATGTATTTTGTCAAAATACCTCACCGCACTCCTTATCGGATATCCCAGAGCAATGGGTGCTAGTAATGACTGTGGATGGCGCCGCTTCCAGTGTTGTGTTTTGGGGCATTTAATTAAATTTGTCACTAAATTTTGGGGTTTAATAAGGAGTTGCGCTAATATTGCGCAACATAAAAATTTTCAACTACCACCATTTTATTCTATAGGGTCTTGGCATTCAGAAAATATATAATGTTGGGGGGTTTTACGTCATTTTCAGGCCTAAAATGTGGAATATAACATGGGTGCAAAAATGGAAAAAAGGGCCTCAGTCATGAAGTGGTTAAACATAGATATCACCAGCACACCAGGATACAGCCTGTGGGCCGGTGCACACCTAGGCGACACCCCACCGTGCGGCAATCATGCACAATTCCACGCGGATTGCTGCACGGTCAGGAGTCGCCCAGGTGTGCACCGATCGCGCTGTGGGTGCCATTATTTTCCAATGGCACCCCAGTCGCGCCGGGTGGATCGCACATCGTGTATCGCAGGAAAAAATATACTTGTACACGATTGCTGAGCAGTGGGGTGTTGCCTAAGTGTGCACCGGCCCTGAATATAAGTACAAATCCATTTTATTGTTACATGTCACTCAGACAAGCACTTTCAGGGCCGCACAGGGTCCCCTTCTTCATCAGGCTCAGAAATGACATTTTACACCTACAACCATAACCCTTAAATAGACACATACTTGTGAAACGAGAAACAAGTCCCACCCCACACCCTCTGACATCACAATGACGTCATATTCCCATCATATGAAGTTCAAATGTGACTGCCAGCTCCCCAATATTTACCCCTAGTCAAACACAGAAACAGTAGGATGTTAAAGAACAACTTATTTCTCTCTCCTTCCAATTCTCCCAACACTTGTAGTAAACAACCAGGCATTTTCAACGTGCAATATTCCCACTGTTACTGATAGCGTTGATTTCTGACCCAGCCTCCCCTTAGTCTTAGTGGTCTGAGATGTGTGCTGCAGAAGAATACAACTAAAGGTTTGTACAGGCACCATTTGGTACCTGCATTTTAGAGCTTGGGGCTCTACTGGTTTGGTAATAACAGGTTTATCTTCAAATAAAAAATGACTTGCACCAAAATTGGATTTTGAACCTGAATAATAAAATGTGTTTTAAATTTTTTTTGAAAGGCTCTTTGGTTTCACATTTTCTTCTGCCACAATAGCTTAGTTAAATTAAATGTCATATCAGTTAAATTGCCCTAGTGCATCAAACCCACAACTCACCTACCTCACAAATACACTTCATAATGAATACATTTTAAGATTTTCTGTCTAGGTCCACCTTGACATGCAGACTAATATGGTTGGCAGTCTGAAAGTGCGTGAGTGAAAAACCTTTGAAGTTCACTGCATAGAACATGTAGATGTTTAACTAATTCCTCATCATTCATCAATGATGCAAAATAATAATGCAAAAATAGGTCAGACATGTATCAGGCCTAGAACATTGTATCAGAGCTCATTATGTAGCTTACATTTACAGCTAGATACGTGTCTATTCATTGTCAATACATTAAATTAGAATTTGTCAACAACAGTCATAGCATGATGCTTGCATTTGTATTCCACAGTCTAGCTATTGAACATCATAAATGCAAGTAATACATGCTGGAACTACAGCTTAGCTCTCCTGCAACTAATTATTGTCAGGACTAGAGATGGGCTCGAACATCGACAGTTCGCGTGTTCAGGCTCCTCGCAAGGCACTATGCCTTGTGAAGCCCTGATTGGCTAAAGCCTTGCACCTGACCTGTGGCTTTGCCCAATCAGGACCCAGTACCCAGACTTTGCCCAATCATGGCTCACCAACTGTTAACTGCTGGGTGGAGCTAGCTGTCACTGCTAGCTCCGCCAAATTGTTTCTATGTTGCTGGCATCTGTCAAAACGCCATTCTGCGGCGAGTGTTTGTCGCAAACGCACGGGACAGTGGGCGTCGGTTTTTAAAAATTATTTCTATTTATTTTTTTATTTTTTATTTCGTTTAGTCATTATCGTGGACAATGCTGGGCGTCGTGATTGACGCTGGGTTACATCAGTGGATCCATTTAATTTTTTTTTTAAAATAACACTTGTCAAAAACTTGTCTTTTTTTTTTTTTTTCAAATAAAGGATTTTCTCAAGTCTGGACTCTTTTTTTTTACAATTTTATTTAACCCTTTAGTGAATGGGTAGGGCTACAAGTACCCATTACTCATTCACAGGGAAAGGGGGTGCATCGGGATGCCCTGATGTGAATAAGCCCCCACTCCCACAAACAACGCCCCAGGGCTTGTGGGGAAGAAGCCCTTGTACCCATCGGCACGGGGACAAGGTGCTTTTCCAGGGGAGACCCTGGAAAAGCACCCTCCCAGTGCCAATGGCATATGGTCTGTTATCACAGGGAGGAGGTAGGGCGCTCCCCTTTCCTGCCCTGCCAGTGCTTGGATCAAGGGTCTGGTTGGAAATTTCAGGGGGGACCCACGTCTTTTTTTCCCCATTTTTGGGGCTGAGGTTCCTCCTTAAAATTCCTACCAGACCTTAAGAGCCTGGTATGACTTTAAGGGGGAACCCCACACACTTTTTTATTTGTTTTTTTGTACATGGGGTTCCTCCTAAAATTCCTACCAGACTACCAGACTTATCTGGCCTGGTATTGTCTGGGAGGGGGAACCGCATGCTTTTTAAAACATTTTTAAATGTCATTTTTTTCTTTTAGAAAATTCATTTTTGCTGCAGCAGGTTATATACATCGTACAGATTTGCCACTTTACAGGCAGTTTATGGGGGCTCCCCAGGCACAATATTTAAAGGAATTTTTCATTTTTATTGTTGCCCTTTTAACCTTTAAAAACTGTTTTTTTAAAAGTTTTTTTAAAGTTTCTTTTTCATTGATTCATGTCCCCCAGGGCAGTACCCGAATCCCCATACCCTTTTTATGGACAATAAATTGCATATAAGGCTTCAAAATGGGGACATTTGATTTTTAAAGTTCTACCCCTATAGACTTGCATTGGGTTCGAATTCAAACTTTTCCCATGTTCTAAAGTTTGAATTCGGATTGAAGTAAACAGACTAACGGTATAATTGCTGTAATGAGCCCTGCTAAAGACCTGCGTTTTTCACTAAGATAAACCTACATACAAAGGCATAAGGATGCTTGTGCAGGTCCTGATAACATATTATTGGGTTCATGGATGCATCAGAAACAGATTTTTCTAGGTTGTATGGTGTTTAGAACATCATGAATCTCCATTCAAAATAATATGATGTGGACAGGGAATTACCAAAATGTGGTCAAAACACCGACTTAGAGCACATGTCAATGTCAAATGTTAGTATGCTCACTTTGAAAGCCAATTATTAGGATTTTTACATGGACATGGTTGGTTAATTGAAGTGAACACCGCGTCACCTTATTTGTTAAACTCATGGAATCTTCGATAAGTGGACAGCTTCAGCCCCTTTATTAACCCAACTCCTTTAAGTATAAAATATAATTTATTGCTTTGCATAATGGCAATATGTTCTTATTTACAAAGTTATGCAGTTAAAAAGATTGAAGAAAAGTTTCAAGTTCACCAGTTCCAACCTATGAATGCAAACTTCTATGTGTATGGCACATAAATCACATAAAACAAAGTGATAGTAGTCAATGCTTCTTTTTATTTAAGCGTTATTCAGGACATGATTAGCAATGTATTTGATAGCTAGCATTGTTTCTTCACAGGTTTCTACAATTTCAGATTCAGGAAGAATGAAGCCATATTTTCCAGTGTCGCGCAGCTCAAATGTGAAGGAATATTTAACACCGGTATCATATGCCCAGTCATCTGATCCTCCAGAAGAAAGATCTAAAAAAAAAGTAAGAAATAAAGAATATAGCACAGTTACTACAGTATAATAACTCTAAAAACACAAAGAATATTATGTACAATAATGTACCACCTGCAATGTATTCAGATACGTGGATTGATTCAGACTTCCCATAATTCAAATCAAATTACATCAGTTCTGCAATCTAGTAGTGATTAATTCCAAAAGAAATTGTGTAGTTTCACTTTCTGGTGACCTTTCATGAGCATCCCTCATGTTATGTTATCTGTTTTCTATCCACCCTTGTGCATAAATATGTCAGGTGAAGGACACTGGGCTCTGCTGCATTATTGATGGCTAGCATCTAATGCAGTAATTGGCCTAGGTCCTCCTTACCCCAACAAAACCCAAAAATTGCATGTATCCTTCATCTGCATTAGCGAATAGTAGAGAGTTGAAACTCCTGACTTTAGCAAGTGAAAGTAAACAATAAAAAACATGGATACCATTTTAAGGCTTACTATAGCCAGAATACAGTATACTGATCATGCAGTATACATTACAATTCTAATGGTGTTGAGTGTATGATTTTTTAAAACATTTTTTTCCACTTGTCTGTAGATTTTTCTTCATATTTAAATACCAACAAAGCTGATGGAAAAGTGGCCGTGACAGAAGTTGGGGATAACGGAAACACTGCCAAGTATCCAGTTTGCTGTAAATACACTGCCTGGCAAAAAAAAGTCACACTATTTTGCTGGACCACCTTTAGCTTCGAGTACAGTGCGCATTTACCGTGGCATCATTTCAAGCTTATGCAATGTCACAATATTTATTTCCATTCACAATTTTTCCCCAAGATCTTATAGTGATGATGGGAGAGTCCGACCACTGTGTAAAGTCTTCCCCAGCACATCCCAATGGGGTTAAGGTCTGAACTCTGTGGTGGCCAATCCATGTGTGAAAATTATGTCTCATCATCCCTGAACCACTCTTTCACAATTTGAGTCCGATGAATCCTGACATTGTCATCTTGGAATATGCCCAATGTGCCATCAGGGAAGAAAAAATCAATTGATGGAAAAACCTGATTATTCAGTGTATTCAGGCAGGCAGCTGACCTGCTTTTTGGGGGGGACATAATGTTGCTGAACCTACCCCTAACCAACAAAAGCAATCCCTATAGCTCTTACCTATTTGCTTGGCTAAATTCAGGTTGTGACTTTTTTATGGCCAGGCAGTGTAGGTAGCACAATAAAATTGTCCTATTTGTTGGTGTAGCAACAAACGTAAGTCTCAGCAAACTGTTAATGATGTGATAAAATAAAGAACATCCAATTAGATTTTAGCTTGGTATTTTCAGACCATCGACAGGTGGATTCTGCACACTGCTGTTTGTTGTATTAAATAAGTTCATATCCATATAGGTTTTTTATAGGCTTAGCCAGTAGTTAGTAAACTATTGATTAGGACACTGAATCTGATTCACTGATTTAAAGAGGTAGAGAATCTTCATACAATCAACTGTATAAATAGTCACTTCAGTCGAAAAGCAAATTCCTGTTTGTTTATTTTATCTGCACATTATTGGATAATTAAAGTGAATATTCACACAGCTAATTGTGTTAACATTTTCAGCTCCTTTAGTAAATCAGCATCAATGTACAGGGCTCGCTACTTTATGGCTACAGTCATATTTTGTTTATGGATTATGGGATATTAGGGCCAAACCTTGTGTAATAATAGCAATAAAAACACATGACAGATTCAACTTACAGATGGTTTTTCCTCCAGGTCCATAGGTATAAGTGGTTCCATACAAGGATGACAGGGCATTAACTGCACCTTCTGCAAGCGCAAACTAAAATAGAAAAACACATTGTTAACGATGTAATTCATTTTAAGTCACGCTCCCACCCCAATAGCCACATTAAGTAATGTGCCAATTCTTCTTTTATCTATTTATATTGTCACTGAATAGGCTTTGTTGCACATTCACAGATTGTTTTAAACATAATCTTACCTAACATTAAAAAAAAAACAAAAATGGACCAATGAAAATATAATGATATTGTCCTCAGTGACTAATCATAGTGCTTGCTTTCATCTTTTAACCAGCATTTAAAACATTTGTCTCTGAAATTAATTTAGTGGTGAATTGCAGCATCCTAATTTTTTTATATTTCCAGTTTTTTACTTTTGTTTTTAAGTGAACAGGAATCTTTCACCATTTAGGGCAACGTAAAAGGCTCTCTTGATAGTCAACCCCCATCAAACTTACTTTCCCTGCTCTCATCTATTTATTTTTTGCCTGCCTGAGAACAGAGTTTTAAGTCCTGTTTAAGCTCATTGCTGATCTGTGTCAGAGCTCTGGGCTAGTGACCTTCCTCCTGAGTACTGCATCATGGGAGAAGGGGAGAGGGTCATATGCTTCCCCATACCTGGAAGTATCAGGTATTTTCAAGGGATCTTGCAAATGAACAAAGTAGTCAGGGAATGCGATGAAAGTAAGTAGCAGGGGAAGGGTTATCAAAGAAACCTGTCAGTTTGACTTGGAAGGCAAATTGGCAGCTGCAATTTAATAAGCAGTGACTAGTACAATGCAGGCACATGTTCATTACTACTGGCATGAACTTGACCTGAGTTTGGTTATTAGTCATTCCCCATCTCTTAGATGTCACTTAGACAAACCAAGAGTGTTTTGGTAAAATAGGAGTACACTGGAATACATGTGGTCTTATTTAGTGCATGTAAGTCCTAATAGAAGTAGAAATATTCAGAATACAGTAACGATCTGACTTAACGATCTACAATAAACTGAAATCTGCTTGGTTACTATAGGTTTACTGTACACAATAGAAGGGTCTGAAGCGCTTTACCCGGTGTTCTCTCCGCGACGTGTAGAGTATCAGGGGTGAAGGGAGAAAAATAAAAAACAAAGAAAAACAAAAACAAAGAAGTGCTTCGTTGTTCTATTATGAGTTCTATCCATTTGAAGGTCCCAAATTCAGCTACCCACTCCCATTGTCTTTTTAAATCATCGTCCAAAAAATCGCAACATTTTTTTACTCTTAGGCCTCTGGGTGTGATTTTTAGATCTAAGTATTTGTGGAGGTAGGTGATGTTCCAAGGGCAGTCGCGCTTCAGACCCTTCTTTTCTGTTTTTTTGCACTTATACCAATTGGACACCCCGGTCCATGTTGAACAGAAGCTGCACGCCACACCCACGTTTACACCTTCCTCTCCCATACAGCCTAGATCTAGTCATACAAACACCTGGAAAGCTCTGAACAACACAAAACCACTCATCCCCAACCCCACAGGAGAGCGCTGTTATCCAGGACTTGAATCCTTAATTTTTTCCTATTACTGTACACAATCATAATCATTTTCATTGCTTTGTTAAATAAATCTGAGCGCCAATCAAACCGCCTTAGTGTTGTAGTGGAATTTTATATAAACCATTTTTTTTCACTTTACACATCCTGTATGTTGTCAATGTACTTGAATCTCCAGCACTGCAATACTCCGGTTTGAGCTAACTAACTGAATATTTTAGCTGAGCTTATTGCTCTAGCTTTCCATCAGAAGATGTGCCTATCCCCCAGTAATTTCGGATTAGAGCAAAAACGAATTATCAGGCTATTATTCACATAAGAAAGATATGCCAAGTTAGAAACATGCCTTGAATCATATATTTTTGCTTTCTTAGCTAAATGAAAAAATGTATTTAAATAAATGAAGTGACCTTGTGTAAGAAGGATAAAATAGCACCCATGAATCCACATCTCTTTAGTGGCTTTTCCCCCAGAAACAGAAGGTTGATATGTAAACCTTACACTACACTTTTTGAGATATGATGCATTTTATAAGAGAACAAAAATGTATATCTGTCTGTAGAGCTTTGCTCCCAACAACTAAAAATATGCGATTCTTTGACAATAATGCAATGTCTTTCATAGAGTACTCACCAGTTCATCATAGTCTTTTGCTAGTTTATGTTTGTAGGAGTAAGGGAACAGAAGCATCTGAGAATAGGAGTGAATGGTCAGGTAAGCCTTGATAGATGAAAGATTAGACCGGATGAAGTCACCAAGAGCTCTGGTTTCACTCTCCGATTCTGGAGTTGTACCACAATAAACCTCGCTGCAAGGACTTGATGTTGCTCCATTAGCTTCAGAGATGATGAAATCAATTTGACTAAAATTGTTTTATTATATTATGTATTATATCTACAAATATGTAGAAAGAAAACTTAGAACATTTAAGAAGGGTTTGCCAGAATGTAGAGGTATTAAACACTTGAAGAATCCTTGTACAAAATCACAAGTTTTCATGCATTAGATTAAAAAAACCTAACGAGCACTGTAAGAAGGTACATTTTTAAAGGCTTATAAATAAGACAAAGGGAGAACATTTTTTGTAGAAGCTATGAATTAATAAATACATACATAATATTAATATTAATAAAAAACAAATAATTAAAATTAAAGTGTACATTTGTAGTTAAGATTGGTTAATATCATCTAGTGTTAATGTACTTGTAATAAAATAGACAATTATGGTTTTTTTTTTCAATGTTTTTTTCTGACAGTAAACCCCATTGAGAACAATATATACTTTAATTCAAGCTAATATAGGTTTTGAGAGTATTGTACTACTACTATTATGACTACAACTACTACTTATATGTTCAATTCCTGAAAAGTAGTGGGAAACAAATATCTATGTTTACACCAGGATTTGACCCAGGCTGGGCTAATTTGCAGAGGTTCATGAATTTTGCCAGCTAATGTTAATTTAATTTATTACTAAATTTTATTTTTCCAGAAGCGCAGATTTATTTGTTTACATTTAATGGCAAAATATCTATCATTTTTGTCTTCAGCTGTGCAACATCTGGATTTTCAGTGGGTTACTCTATGTCCATGGGATACAGCAGAGTAGAGCAAATATTAAAAGTTTCACTTATCCATAAGTCCCCAATTCTATATTTTGTACATCTAAGGACATGCAGAGAAACAGTGAAGGATATAATACCACTGAACACTAGAAATCCATCCAAAGTTTGGATACTAGCTTGAAAACTTACTGCCCCATGCTGCAGCAAAATTTCTGTTTGGATCAGTACCAGTGCAGGGTGTATTCTTGTTGAACGAGCGTGTTTTTCTCCACATGCGGTCCTATAGCAAAAACTACAGTGTTTAGTCCATATGAAATAATCATTTATTTTTAACAGTAAACACAATCTCATCTTACATTTGTCCAGGTATATGTGTAGCCATCAACATTCAGGACCGGCACAACATAGAAATCCAGAGTATCAAGAAGGTTGGTAAATTCTGGATCAGAGCCATAAGAATTAACAGCCTTTTATTAAAATAAAAAGATAAAATTACCAAGTTAGAAACATACAGAATCATAATGTTTTTTTCTTTCATAGCTAAGTGAAACATGGATTGTAAGAGAAAAGAAGTGGCGTTGTATAAAGCCAGGTTCACACCTTTCTGTTTTAACGTACTTGTTGGAAAGTGTCAGAGCACATTGAAAACCAGACAAGCATAAGGTGCTAGTTAAAATATTTATTAAGAAAAGTGTCCACAGGAGCAAGCAAAAATCCTAAACCGGAACAAGCTAAAGTCAGGAGCCGGAGTGGGTAGTCGTACAAGCCAGGTCAGGAACACGGAGATCAGTGCTGTCAGGAACAAGCCAGGAGCAGTAACCAGAGGAGAACGTCAGCCAGGATTGGGTCATACACAGAATCAGATTACTCATAGGAACAGCAGGAATACACTAGCAGGAAACTCCCATCTGACTCTCTCCAATGATGCTCTCCTGTTTGGCTATAAGAGGGAGCCTGGGAGTAGTGAGCAACGTTACAGAATCTGCTCAGGGAAAGGAGGAATCATAGGTGGGTAAAATGGCAGACAAGCCAGAACACTGCAAACCAGTTAAGTCAGAACCCTGACAGAAAGCAAGACAAAGTGCGTGTTATCAAAACATATGTAAACCAACTGGTGTGCAGCATTGTAAACCATTTTTCAAAGAAAAGTATGCTTCTTTTTTAATGCATTTTCATGAGTCCAATATAAGTCTATGGAAATGAACATATAGGGGTCTATTCACGAAGCTGCCGAGGGCAGCCGAGTGAATGACCGATCTGAAGTGAAGTGAGCCGAACACTGTTCGGCTATTCACTTCAGGCTGGTACGGCTAATTTCAGCCGTACATCGGCTTGCTTCGTGTGACATCTATTTGTTAAGTGGCTGCTATATTATCTCAGCAGTTGTTGAGAGAGAGAAATTGCACTGAGCCAGAGAGACTTACTCTAATGGGTAATCTAACAAAGCTCTACAATAATAAGCTATAGAACAGTAATCTTATAAAATGAAAAGTCACCCAAAAATTAATATAAGATAAGCATTAAACACTAATAACTAAATGTGTGCTTCTAAAAAAAAAGCTGTGCTTTCCCTTTAAAATGTATAATGTATACATGACACTTCCTACCTTTTATCAATATGAACTTTGAACAAGTTTTACTCCATTTACATTACTGTAAAAAAACAAAACGGAGGGTTATTCACAAAGCTGCGAAAGGCAGCCGTGTGAATAACTGACCTGAGGGTCGCTCTGGGAGCCTCCCGCTCCCAGCCGCCAAGGAGAGAAGCACTGATGTGTCTTTTTTTTTCTTTATTCTGACACTGTTGTGGGCACCTTGCAGGTCACAAGCTCAGTTGGTGTGGGCTGGACACTTATTGTTTGTGGTCATATCATGTTTCAGGGCATGTTTCAGCCTTTTCTGCTGCAAAAACCTATTTGCTGCTACAGTGGGTGGAAGTAGGACAGTGATGTCACGGCACAGATCACTCTGCCTGTCCGCCAGAAGTGGTATTCAGCTTTGCTCCATTTGCACTCTCTCGTGTTACTCAGCTGATCTCTCTGAAAGTGGCCGGAGCCAGCCGTAAGATCACGGCTGTCAGAAGCAGGCTGTCGGCCGGCCGCTCAGCCAGCTTCGGCTTTCAGCACGGCTCAGCCGAGCCGATGCATATGCGTACAGCTCGACTGAGCCGCTCGTCCATGATCGGGAGCTGAACGGGCTATTGTTAATAGCTCGTACAGCACCCCTTCGGTTCTACTGAACCGAAGGGGTCCTGGGGCCGAAGCTAGCCGAAGGATCGGCCGAAGCTACGGCCGGATCCTTCGGCAGCTTCGTGAATAGACCCCATAGTGTGTTTAAAAGGAGAACTATGGGGTCAGTGAAGTACACTCATCCCTAAAGTTAGAGCCGACATGTGACATTGAAACTGTCACATGTCAGCTCTATCAATCGGGAAGTGTGCGAAAGCATACCGCCGCTCGCTCACTTCCCGATCTTCTCCACAGGGATTCCACCCTCCCTCTCTGATCCTCCCCTCCCTATAGATCTCTTCTAATACATTTTCAATGCATTGTGGGTGAGCACAAGGCAGCTTGCTATCCCATGATAACAAGCGCCTCACCTGGATACCTGACATGTACTCACACAAATGTCAATCAAGATTGCTGCTGTGATCCTTTCTATGCCAGTGAGGCACTCATCAGGCAGGTCCATAGCCTCCCTCTTTTATGCGACTCCTCCCATCAATATTACAAAGAGAGACACAGAAGCTGCAAACAGTGGTGTAAAAGCAACCATTGCTTAGATTTAATAATACAGAAAGCATATCCCCCAAAAGTCCACAACAATGATGTCACTGCAAGATACATCCTCATTGACTAAAAAACTAAATTGTATGATGTGTGTAAACAGATGAAAACGTATGTGAAATATGCGTCCACATGCATATGAGAAGCAATGAAAACCACATTGAAGCAGGCACGGTTATATGTGAATCCAGCCTAAGTAGGATAAATAGCACCCCTGAATCCACAACTTATGGTATTTAATATTTAAGATGTTAATTTAAAGCAATACAAAAAAGAACTAACCTCCTTCACAAACCACTGGCAGAATGCAGGAGTGACCCATTCTCTGGCATGAAATCCACAATCTATGAAGACGGCATTTTTATTGGCACCAGCTTTTCCAACCTTAAAAATAAATACATACATTCAAATATGTATACATAAGTACTCTTACCCTGTGATATTGTCTGATGTGCCTACACCACACAAGATTATTATGAAGGGCTAAGGGTCTGGAGGATCCTCTTGAATTAAACATAATCACGTTAGCCTTTAAAGTGAAAGCTCTCAGAGGCTCTAAATGCTTTAATTCCTTACGCCTGTCTGGACGCCGATTGCAAACAGCTGAATAGCCAAAAGGAAGTTTAAGTGTGTGGTAGATTATAAATTCATTCAGAGGACATCAGTATCAGTACCGTTTATATTGTAGACTTGACTGCTGGATTGGGGATCATTAACACAGTTACGTGACGTGAGATATCCTACCACATATATATCTGAAGTATTAAATATAGATTGATGGCCGGGGGGAGACCAAGAAGGTCTAGGAAGCAACCACAGAAGCGACGGCCTGAGACCCGGACTTCCAAGATGGATGCCGCATCTTCGCCGTCTCTTACACAACAGCTGCGAGTCAGGCACAGCGATGTGGAAGACTCCTCTGACTCTACGCACCGGACAACAGTGAGTACCGACTCCCCCGATCAAAAATCATCTGTGTCCATGGTCTCTCCTATTGAGCGTACAACAGAGGAGATGAGATCTATCCAGAGAGAACTCCCACCTGAATTTAATCCACCATGCATAATACATGGTGACCATATCCCGGTGGATATAGCGGATGATCACCCCTTACTTGCTAAACTGTCTGATCTTAGATAAAGGATTAGCCCGTACCACTAGACAAATCATAGCGGACATAAAAGCAGACTGTCCTTTTGGTGGACTATTGCCTATGGGCATCGGATATTAAGAAATGGACTAGAAGACGTAACCCTAATGACTGTTTGTTAGAGATCCTAGCATACTTAACACTATGGGTATGAAATGCATTTTTAGTTAAAAATGGTCGGTAAATAGAAGTGGGGAGATTAGAGGAAGTTCACATTCACTTATTAATGGCACGATAGGTTAATTAATCACCCAAGGATGGATTATGAGGACACAACTTCTAAAAATCACTGACACTTATTGGCATTGATGTTAAATCTCACTAATAATTAAACAATCACTCAAGAGAACTTAGTACTTTTTCACATAGACATTCTTCAAGGGGTGAAAGGGAAAAGAAAAGGAGAAGATTCAAGGGGTAACGGCACTTCACACCCCCGCTATTGGAAAATATTTTTACATGATGTTGCACCTAAAGGGGGTTTTGGGGGGGGGGGGGCTTGGTTGTTTTTTTTTTGTTTTTTTTTGCTGTTGTTTTTTCTCCCTCTCTTTCACTCTATCAGCGGGTTTTTAACCGACAGGGAGATGGGTATTTATGAGGAATATTATGGGTGAAATTCTCTTCACCCAACACGGGGGGATTTCACAAACACAATAAGTCCTCGACAAGGGAGGTACTAAGTTGAGGGTAATAATAACCTGAGTCCTATATAGGTAATGGGGACTTTAAGGGATAATCACAAATTATTTCAGTATGCTAGGTGCTACTATAGCGCATTCTATTGGGGGTTCCTCGCTAGCTAAAACATCTACCATTTCGGGCCATCTAGATAGACACACACATATAAAGCAAGTCATTGGGGAGCTTTCTTGGATCATCTATAAATCAGTTTTTTTATCAATAAAGGACTCAAGCCTTCTACAAAACTTGATAGATATTACTATTGGTATAGTAAACGTTATGTGTAAATATAACTACTTAACTATTATGGGGACAGAGCAGATCGTGGGATCAACTGAAGTTAAATCACAGTAATAATTAACTAATCACTCAATGGTATTCGGTACTTTTTACATATAAAAAAATTTTCTCAAGAGGGGAGGGGAGACAGAAGAGGAAAGAGGAGGGGAGAGTGGAAGGGGGTGAGGACATTTCCACATCCCCGCTATTGGAATTAATCCTTATGTGGCGTAGCACCCGAGGGGGGGGGGAGGGGTATCCCTTTCTCTCCTCTCACCTCTTTCTGCGGTTTTAACCGATGGGGAGACAGGGGGTATTTATAAGGAACACAGCAATATGGGGTGAAATCCTCTTCACCTCAACACTGCGGGATTTCACACACACGATAAGTCTTGGATAAGGGAAGCACTAATTTGGAGGTAATAATAACCCGAGCCTCATATAGGGGAAGGGGAATTTAAGGGATAATCACAAAACTATTCTAGATGCTAAGTTTTATTATAGTGCACGTTATTAAAGGTACTCCATTAGTAAATATATGCCATTTTTGGCCATCTTGTTAGATTTATATATATATGGCATCTTATTGGGGAGCTCTTTCGGTTTATATATAAATCAGTCCTTATTAATCAGGGATCCAAGGTTCTTTTCTATAGGACTTGGTAGATATCATTATTAGTTTCATAAATTAAGGATGTAAATATAACTATTTAGCTATTATGGGGATAGGGAAGATAGTGGGGTAGCAGCCTTAAACACTCAGACGTCCAGTAGGGCGAGAGCTGAGAGGGGAGCAACTGTGAGTGTTCTCTTTCCTTTTCTCTTGCCCCTGGATGCTAGATACCCGGGGTGGGGTTAGGCTGCCGTTGGTAGCTGTGCGCCTGCACTTGACTCGACCATAGGCGGGATCCTCTGCTCGAGTCAAGCGAGTTGCCCGCAAGGGGCAGCTCTTAAAAGGTATTTCGACAGGGCATCTAGAAGCCCTAAATGTTGTATGTTAAGTAAAATGTTAGTTTTTGTTTTGTTGTATGTTAATTTCTTTTTTATTTTCTATTTGAAGTGCAGTATTGATTCTTTTGGTCGGGGAGGTATAGGCTACTTAAACTGCCCTAGGTCTCAGTTAGGTGGGAATTTTCCAGAAATATCGAATGGTATGATACAACTACCTAGTCATGGCGGCAGGTTAAAATGATATCCGCATAGCTACACACAATGTGCAAGGCTTAAACTCGCCAGTTAAACGGCGAGTGGTCTTCAACCACTACTTGTCTCAAAAAATAGATATACTCTGTCTCCAGGAAACGCATTTTCCAATCAGCTATAACCCATCGTTTATACATAAACACTACACCCAATACTATCTTGCTAATGCGGTAGACAAATCTAAGGGGGTAGCTATCTTATTTGCCAGACATGTCCCGTTTGGGCTGAAATTAGAAATAAAAGATCCTGAGGGACGCTATCTGATGGTGAAGGGCTGTATAGGGGATCGCCTTATTACGATTATCTCCTACTATGCCCCCAATTCTGCTCAAATCCCCTTTTTTATTCATCTCCTCAATACGCTATCCCCTCATATGGAGGGGACAGTAATATTAGCTGGGGATTCTAATCTAGCTTTAGACCTAAAACTCGATAAATCCCATCCCTCGGGATCTAAGTTGAAACATCCTCCTAAACGTGGACTGAAGCTGGCAAAGCTTCTATACGCACATTCTTTAGTGGATGCGTGGCGAGAATGCAACCCTTCTAAGAAGGATTATACTCCTTTCTCATATGCCCATGCTACGTATGCTCGTATAGATCACATTTTCGTCTCGCCTCAGACACTTGTCGGCATAAGCCTGGTTAAAATTAGAGAAACCCTATGGTCAGATCATGCAATGGTGGTGATGTCCTCTTCATTGGCCCAATCTGCTCGAGGACCATATCATTGGAGACTTAACGAATCACTACTTAGTGACCCTGGGGTGGTAGCGGAGGTCCAGACCCTTCTTACTGAATACTTTTCTATTAATACTCCATCGGTCACCTCCCCTATTACCAATTGGGAAGCTCATAAAGCCACTTTGAGAGGGCACTTAATTTCTATTGCTACCCGTAAAAAACATCAGCGGATTTCGCACATCTCTAAATTGGAGGGGGAGATGATTGACGCAACCCGAGCACATAAGCGGGAGCCAACAAAGGATCTTCGTGACCGTATTAATCAAATCCGCTTGTCGTTAAATCTAGCTCTTACGACGGTGGCAGAGCGGAGCCTTCGGTGGTCTTACCATAAATTTTATTCCCATGGGGATAAGGCTGGTCAACTGTTAGCTGTTAAATTATCTCCCAAATTGCGTAACTACTCTATTCCTAAAATAAGATGCGCGAATGGGGCATATTCACACAACCCTGAAGTGGTAATACAGGAATTCAAATCTTTCTATACTCGATTGTATGCTAACACCCATTCGCCCCCTAAGCCGCTAATACAGCAATTTTTAAGATCTGTGGCACTCCCTATCTTAGACCCCGTACACATAGCCTCTTTGGAAGAACCAGTTACACTATTTGAAATTAAGCAAGTTTTTAAACAGACAAGAGTATCCTCTGCCCCGGGACCAGATGGCTTTTCAGCTGGTTATTATAAAACATTCGAAGAGATATTACTACCTCATCTCGAATCTTTGTTTGCGGCCATTGGTAAAGGGGAACCACTGATTCCGGAAATGAATGAGGCGTTTCTAAGCTTAATCCCTAAACCTAATAATGACCCGGGAGAAGTAGCTAATTATAGACCTATATCATTGATTAATAACGACATGAAATTACTTACAAAAGTTTTAGCCAATAGGATTAATGTGTTCCTGGCCACTTACATTCATAAAGATCAAGTGGGGTTCATTAGAGGGAGACAGGGGCCAGATCAAACTCGTAGAGCAATCGACATAATATCACTGCTAAAGACGGGTGGGGTGGTACCCCAAAGGCCAGGGGCTTGTTGTTATCCATCGATTTACAAAAAGCCTTCGACTCAATATCCTGGACTTATCTTTTTACGCTACTGGAAGAGTGGGGGTTTGGCCTAGGGTTTAGGCGATTGCTCCGGAATCTGTACGCCTCACCCTCAGCAACTATCAAAATGCAGGGATTTAGGTCTGATCCAATCCAGATTTGCAAGGGTACTAGACAGGGTTGTCCACTTTCCCCTCTACTATTCGCCTTGGCGATTGAGCCCCTTGCGATCTCTATACGGGAGAATATCAACATTAAAGGAGTCCAATGTGGAGGAAGGGAACATAAATGCGCCCTTTTTGCAGACGACTTATTGCTGTTTCTTACGCAACCGCTGACTACCCTGCCTAGTGTAATGTCATCTCTGGATGGATTTGCAAAGATATCTGGACTATATATAAATACAGCTAAGTCCTTGGCCTTGAATATAAATATTCCCCCCGAGCAAGTAGAAAAGCTCAGAGCTGCTTTCCCTTTCTCATGGTCGTCGACGTCGTTACCTTATTTAGGGATTAATCTTACTCCCTCATTCGACCTGTTATATCAGGCGAATTTCCCTCCTATGATTAAAAAACTGAAGGGGGATCTTGAAAGGTGGTCCCTGTGTAATATTTCCTGGATAGGGAGAATAAATGCTATAAAAATGACCTTACTCCCTCGGCTCTTATATCTATTTAGGGCTATTCCCATTCCTGTTCCTAGATTTGAACTAGCTGCATTTCAGTCAAGCTTAGTGAAATTTATATGGGGAGGTAAAGGTCATCGCCTACCCAGGACTACTCTTTGTAGCACTAGAGAGTCAGGGGGGTTGGGAGTCCCAAATATACATAAGTATTACCAGGCGGCACGCATGGCCCAATTGTCAGCTATATATTCAGCAGAGGAACTACCTGATTTAAAAAAAAAAAATCAAATTTAAATGAAATTAAACTGCTAGTGTTGATGTTAATATTGCATTTCCTTTTTTTTTTTTTGTTTTTTCTGCTCTTCTTTTTTTTCTTTCTTTTTTTTTTTTCTCTCCCTTTGTGAGTAATGGTGTGTTTTTGTGATTTTGTGTGTCGAAGAAAACAATAAAACTTTTGAAAGGTCAAATATGTATACATACACTGTATATTTATTTATTTTTTTCTTCCTCAGTTGAGATGATGAAACCTTCATCCACTATTTGTAAATAGAATGGCTACATATCTTATCCCTTTTTTATTTTTACAAAAATGATCTATATGATCTACGTATAGATCTAACTGACAGTTACATGTAGTGTTCCATGTGTGGGGCCCCTCTTCCTCATCAGCGTGCACCTCCCATGTTGCTTCTGTTTTGTTCTGTGTGAACTATGCTGTCTCTCATGATGTGGTGGTTGGGTGGGTACAAACACATTATAGAGATTGTGAGGTACTGGACTCCAGTCTAACTGTTTCCTATTGCAAGAAAGAGAATTGATATTGCTATTTGGCTATCTTTAGTCATTTCATCAGCTCCCAGTTCCAAAAATTACAACTGCATTTTAATGGAATCTTGTACTCAGGGAAAAATTGAGGCTGCCATTACTGGCCTCCTTCTAAAAAAAACACATGCTAGTTGCTTGGATTTCTCTGGCAGAGGACAATTAGAACTTCTGATCTGAATTCTTGTTCCACATAAGTATCTCAGAATGTACAGTATAGAAGCCTTTAAACAGCATGACAGAAAGCAAGTAGCATTTTCAAAAAAGAGTTAAGCATTGGAAGCCTAAATATTTTTTTTTACATGGGTTTCCTTTAAACAGAAGCTCAATTTTAAATATTTAAACATTTCATGATATGGTTACCTTAAGCAAATAGATAGGACGTCCCTCGTAGGAGGTTCCAATCTGTGAGCGAGTAACAAGGTCGGGGTTCTGCGCTGCAATGTTGGCAGTCCAGGCATAAATCTAAGGTTGAGACACTAGCTATAATTTATTTTCCATAAGGTGTTTTCCTGAAGATGTATAACAACCAAATTGCAGCCTTACCGTTTCAAGGTCATTGTACTTCTCATAGCTATGTACAGAGCGAACATTGCTGTTAAGTTGGTTGTCAATGGCTACTTGAACATCGTCAATCAAAACCCTGCACAGAAACAGGCCAGTATGTTATGTTGATACCAAAACTATAATATGTTTGATGATGACTGATATACATTTTTCAATCTGATTATTTTCCTTTAAAAGAATAATTGTTATAAAATGCATATTGCTTATTTTCCCATACAAATCTAAAATGTTTAAAATGTGCTTTTAGAAGAGTACAGGGCATTTATTAAAAAAAAAAATATTTTATTAAGTTGTGGGCACATTTAAATCCAGTGATAAAAGCTGATGTACAATGGATCACATTGTATTACTGCTCTCTGTCCTGTTATTTAATAATATATATGGTCCAGTTTAAAGCTTAGAAGAGAACTATGGGGTAACCTTTTTATATTTTACATATACTACACTCCTCCCGTGACCCAAAGCTCAGTATATAACGGGCTATTGAATTAGTGGCCTCTGACAATTGCCTCTGACCCGTGATAAAAGGTAAAAGTAACTAGGTAAGATAAAAGGGTGAAGAGTTTGGAGAAGGCAGGAGAAGTGAACAATCTAGGACAAAATAGCTGAACTGGAAAGTAATCAGTTATGTTGTCCTAGATTGTTCACTTCTCGTGCCTTCTCCAAACTCTTCACCCTTTTGTGAATGACCCTGCTAGTAATTTCTAGCTTTATAATTGTTCAATTATTTACACAAAGCAAATGCTATATTTTTTTTCACCTAAGTAAAAGTACAGAGGTACCTCGGTTCACGAACGCTTCTGTTCGCGGACAATTCGGTTTGCGAACAGGAAGTTCGTAAAAATGTTGCTTCCGTTCGCGAACTCTACTTCGGGGGACGAACAACTGCAGCCATTTTCCCTGCTCTGACACATGGTCATGGCTTCCTCTGGTCTGATCACAGTTTGATTCGGTTCACGACCAAATCGGTTCGGGACCAAAATCGCGGAACAAATTAAGTTCGTGAACCAAGTTACCACTGTATTTAAAAAATATTGTTATCTGAACAAATAAGCATGATGACATGGAAGTGGAACAAGAATAAACATAACATACAGTATAACTATTATTCTTTCACCAGTGTTTCAAGGCTGTACCCAACACATAGTTTTTCCTTGAGTTAATAAATGTGAATAAAAGCACATGGAGAATGCCTTGCAGCTCTGGGGCTTTGGTTTTAAGATGAGCTCAGGACTAAACAAATAGTTTCTAAATACAAGCAGCGTTTGTATTCTTACTTGAATCTTGGTGTGCCTTTGTATATTCAAAAGCATTTGGTGCACATAGGGGGTGTAGCTATCCCTGATCATATTTAGATGAACGTTCTTGTTCCCCAGAGTTCCCTGATCATATTTAGATGAACGTTCTTGTTCCCAGAGTTCCCTGATCATATTTAGATGAACGTTCTTGTTTCCAGAGTTTAGCTGTAAATCCCACCTGGTGCATTATCTGCATGAATATATATGTTCTCCCCATGAGGGTTTCTTTTGCTGATCTCTTTCCGAACATGCTATTTACCTGGCTGTTATGCTGATCCAATTGCTTCCCAATACTCTGGGTCAGTGCCCTTTAAGAAGCATGCAAATAAGACATCTTACTTTTCTTCAACTTTCCTGATCTGCATATTTATTTCTGCGCCGTGGTTCAGCAATACAGCCAGGCAACTGAACTTTCAAGAAGGATGTAAGCAATTGGCAGGTTTTTTTCTTTTATGACAAGTTTGCTTAAATCAATATTTAACAAATTTCATGCAAAGTATACATTTTACAAAATGTTCTCACTAAGACCAATGTCTATAATGTCATAAAGGTAGAACAGCAGTGATTGCACTTACTCAAACGGCATTCCACTTTGAGCAATCAGAGCTTGAACATCATAAGCTACATCATATTGAGCCCGAAAGTCAGTAGTCTTTCCCTCTTCGAGAAGCGAAACCGAGTCGGGAACCCAGAAGTCCAGCTGTGAGAGAAAACAGTAGTTTTACAGAAAACCAGTAAATAGGCAGGCCAAGTACATGGAAGGTGGACACTGGTGGGTTCAACCACTCATTGGTTTCTTATGTCTCATGGCACTACAGTAGACAGTCACAATATCTCTCTCCTACTGCACTGGAGAATTAAGAATCCAGCAGCTCGAGTGAGACCTTCCCTGTTTTACATTAGTTATGCTGGGTGGGCAGATCTTGCTTTTAGAACTTCTAAGACATACAAACAGATAGACACCCATTAAACTGTTCAATTAGCATGCATTTAAATAACACTTTAGGGTAAGGTTATCCCTAAGTATACCATACTCACCTCTGTTTATTCATCTGTCTATATCATTATACAATATCTGAACAGAAAGGCAGGATAAAATTAACCCACAACCCATCAGTTCATGATGTACCTGGAATAAATGTATCCAGGCACTCAAAGCTCCTGGAAAGTAGTACATTTGGATGGATATTAGTCACTTTAGAGACAGTCTGGAACATACTGTTCTTCCAATGCTAAGAAACCATTTCTGTGTGCATAAATGTGTAAAATAAAAACTGATTTTTTAAAAAGACTATTGAGCTCCTTTCCAGACTCTTGTCCTGTCACTATCGCTCTTCTCTTCCAAAGCCTCTTTTTGGGCTCTTCCGTCCCTCTTTTAGAAGACTGTCACTCTTCTCTAGTTCAACTTCTGTCCAGGCTCTCTGAGTCGGTCCCTTTTGATTCTACATTGTGTTGGGCTACAGTTGGGTGCTTTAATGTGCACTGGGAAGCAGAATGCTGCTGGTGTATCACATGGTCACACCACAGGCACTGTAAGGCAAATTGCTCCTCTCTCCTTGCAGTGTGTTGTGCTGTGGGCACCTTGCAGGTCACAAGCTCAGTTGGTGTGGGTTGGACACTGATGTGTCTTTTTTTTTCTTCTTTATTCTGACACGATCGATGTCAGAATAGGAAAAAAAAAAAAAAGATTTTTCCCATTGAAAAGCATTAGAACATTACTATTGGCTATTCAATTTGCAA